ACATTAAAACAAGATAAATTAATAAAATTTATATTTACTAATTATTTAATCACTACAAAAAAAATTTGTGGGTGTTACAATTTAGTTGTAGTGAAATGAAGAAACTTGATTTTGAAGCATGATTATAAGTAGCAATTCTTTCCTCAAAAGAGAAATCCAAATGCATTTTTGCTAGCAACTATTCAACACCACAACACCCAGATCAGAGCAAGTGCAAATTCAGTAGCAGAACAGAAAAATACCAAAATCCAGATAACAGGAAAGCAAATAATAATAAATGGAAAAGACTTTCCAGACCAGGCATTTTATTTCATGTTAAAAGAGTTTTGACTTAGCAATTACAAGTAGCAGAAAACTGAAATACTAATTGTCTAAAATCAGCTTTAACAGACAATATAATCTTATTACTTACCCAGTTTTAATCTGTCCCCAAATCCATCCAAACACGTTCAGATTTTCCCAGAGAAAAGAGGAAAACCCCATAATCCTAATTAAATCCTGCGCGTTTGATCCCTCAAATACTAATAAACCCGGGATTCTTAAATCGCACATCAAGTTTGAGGTTTCTTAAATCTTAGCATTCTCGTAAGCCTGGAGAGCCTCGTCAGTCAACCTGCAAATCCTCCATTCCGGCAACACCTTAGCGCCCATCAGCTCATAGAACTTAATGGCATTCGCATTCCAATCAAGAACAGACCATTCAACCCTGCCGTAACCCATCTTCACCGCCTGCTTAGCCACTGCCGACAGAAGCATCCTCCCCATACCTTTCCTCCTATAACACTCTCTCACGAACAGGTCCTCCACGTAGAACCCAGGCTTGCTCATGAAGGTGGAGTAGTTGGGGAAGAAGAGCACGTGTCCAGCAACGACGACGTCGCCGAGAGGATCGGTGAGGAATTCATTCCTCTCAGGGTCATCAACGGGGAGATCAAGGTTTATGACGCGATGGAGGGGTGGGAAGTGGGGGGAAGGGGAGGGAAGAGAAGGGAAAGGGGAGGAGGAGAGCTCGAGGAAGAAG